TGACTCTCGGTTTGATTGGTTGTGAGAACTGGCCATGACTACCATGGAGGAACTTTTATGCAGAGGCTGACCCTATGGAGCAGGATTTGCTTTAGCAGGACTGTGGTGCTTTTTGAGTCTCCGTTTTGGGTATGTTTGTGGAGGTGGTTGGGTGGGTCTCTGGTGTGGTCTGAAACTGGCCACTGGGTGTGTTGGTTCTGGGGCCTCTTTGGAGGGCCTCTGGTGCAGGCCAAAGTTAGCTGCCCCCTTTGTCATGCCCGGAGCCACTTGGTTACAAAGTGGCTACAGAGTTATCCGCAAATATTTTATTTACCACCTGTGCTGGACTTGGAGGTGCCTAGAAGAGGCTGAACTGTGAACTCTGAGGCTGGTTGCCACTAGTGCCTGGCTTGGGGCTGCTTAGCAAGAGGCACTGGGTGTGCCAAGGCTAGATGCTGCTTGTTTGGGGTTTGTGATCCTTTGAGAGATTTTAGGAAGGTCCCCAATATTAGCCACGACAGGCTGTTTGTTTGGAAAAGTCACTGGAAGCTCGGGTGGGCCTGCAGATTGGGTAGGGCTCGGTCTCGGAATCACCAGGGCAGGGCGAATGGTGTTAGCTTGGTTGATAGAGACTCAACAATGGAGCCCGCCTGATTGTGCAAGCTGGGTTGGGGAAGGGCTCAACAAAGCAATAATGGTTTTTGCCACCCGTTCTGTCTGGGTGAAAGCTGCCCCTTCAGTCCTTGCCCTGAAGCAACACAATTTAGATCCTCCCCATATGTCCCTGGTGCCTTTCGAGCTGCTGCCCCGACACTGGAGCTTAGAGCAAGTAAGTCCATGAGTGGGCCCTTTTAAGAAGAATGCCTAGGATTCTAGCAGTTCTCCATTTCGCTCAGCCACAGTATCTGCTGTTATTCACAGCTAGAAGTTGTGGGGACTTCTCTCCCTGGGGCTGGGGAGCTTGGTTTAGGTCCAGGACACCTCACTCCTCAGGGAGACCTCTGCAGCTGAGATATCCCTCCCAATTTTTAACTGCCACATGTGAGTGTGGGAGCAGCCTCTTACTAGTCTTGAAGTAGGTTCTGTATATCTTTAGTTATAAGATTTCTGTTCAGCTAGACTTCAGGCGATTCTCAGTGATGGTTGTTCTATAGTTGTAATTTTGATGTAGTTGTGGTAGGAGGCGAGTACAGTGTTTACCTACTCTGCCATCTTTATTGGAAATTTTTGGCTGATTTTGTATATTTTTAAAGTACGCAAAGCATTAACATAATTCTAAAAGTCAGAACTTTTCAAAAAGAGATACTCAGAGAAGTGCCACTCCCCTTTCATTCTTTCTACTATTTTCTTGTTCTTCATTCTTTTCACCCCATTCCCATCTACTATACCCTTGTAAGTAACTGTTCTCAGTTTCTGGTTATCCTTCCTATGGTTTTTATTTCATTTTGTTTTGGGGGGTGGGCACAAAAGGGCAGATACATGCATATTTCCTTATTTTTTCTTTTATGTATGGATATTAGGTTGTTTCCAGTATTTTGTGGTTGCAAATAATGTTGCCGTGAATAACCTCATACTATGTATTTTCATTATTATGGGTGGTATATCTTTAGGGTAAATTCCTAAAAATGGGGTTGCTGGATTAAAAGGTAAATACTTTTGTTAAATATTACCAAACTTTTCTCCAAAAGGATTTTATCAATTTATATTCCCACTAGCGAAGTATGAAAGTTTCTTTATTCCCACCAATAGAATGTGTTGTCACAATTTTTGCCAACTTTATTTAGTTAGGCAAAATTGACATTAATTTCAGGTATAAAACATAATAATTCAATATAAGCCTAGTTAACATCCATCACCGTACATAGTTACAAATTTTTTTGTGTGTGATGAGGATTTTTAGGTTTACTCTAAGCAATTTTCAAATATGCAGTATAGTGTTTAACTGTAGTGACCATGTTTTACATTACATCATGGAGATGTTTTACATTACATCATGGAGATGTTTATTTATTTTATAATTGGAAATTTGTGCCTTTTGACCTCTTTCACCCATTTCACCCACTCCCCAACCCCTTTTGCCAATTTTTTAATGAGTAAAGTTGAACATCTTTTAAAAATCTTTACTTATGAATTGTCTCCTTATATCTTTTTTCTCGTTTTTTTTCATTAGGTGTTTGTTATTTGTTATTTATTCCTTAATGTTAAGGACCTTTCAGAATCTTTGTAAGTGTCCATCAGTGGACGAATGGATAAAGAAGAGGTGGTACATATATACAATGGAATATTGCTCAGCCATAAAAACAAAATCTTGCCATCTGCAACAACATGGATGGACCTAGAGGGTATTGTGCTGAGTGGAGTAAGTCAGACAGAGAAAGACAAATACCATATAATTTCACTTACATGTGGAATCTAGAGAACAAAATAAAACAGAAACTCATAGATACAGAGAACATCTTGATGATTGCCAGGTGGGAAGTGGGCTGAGGAGTGGATGAAAAAGGGGAAGGGATTAAGAGGTACAAATTGATAGTTATAAAATAGTCATGGGGATGTAAAGAATACCATAAGGACTCCAAAGAGGAAATACAGATGGCCAACAGACATATGAAAAGATGCTCAAGGTCACTAATCTTCAGAGAAATGCAAATTAAAACCACAATGAGATGTCACCTGATGCCTGTCAGAATGACTATCATCAATAAATCAAAGAACAAGTGCTGGCGAGGATGTGGAGAAAAGGGCCCTCAGACATTATTGGTGGGATTGCAAATTGGTATAGCCACTATGAAAATTAATTTGGAGTTTCCTCAAAAAATTAAAAATAGATCTACCTGATTACTCAGCAATTCCATTTCTGGGTATTTATCTGAAAAAGACCAAAACAATTTGAAAAGATATATACACCCCTATGTTCACTGCAACATTATTTACAATAACCAAGTTATGGAAGCAGTCTAAGTGCCCATCGGTAGACAACTGGATAAAGAAGAGGTGGTACAAATATGCAATGAGATATTACTCAGCCATAAACACAAAATGAAATCTTACCATTTGTGACAACATGGATGGACCTAGAGGATAGTATACTGAATGAAATAAGTCAGACAGAGAGAGACAATTGCCATATGATTTCACTTATGTCTAGAATTTAAAGAAAAACAAACAAAAAACAGAAACAAACTCAAAGTACAAATTAGTAGTTGATAGATGATCATGGGGATGGGGTCACAGCATAGGGAATGCAGTTAGCATTAATGTATTGGCTAGGTAGAGAGCCAGAGGAGAGCGAGCAATTAGGGGAATTGTTTTATAAACTATATAAATGTCTAACCAATGTGCTATATACTTGAAACTAATAAAGTTAAAAAATAGCATAAGGATTATAGTCAATAATATTGTAATAACAGTATGGTGTTACATGGATACTATATCGGGGTGATCATTTTTTAAGTTGTATAAATGTCTAATCATTATTATGTACACCCGAAACTAATAGTGTATGCCACTTGGAATTTAAAAATTAAAAAGTTATTTAAAAAATAAAGCAGTCACCCCCAAAAAACAAACAAACAAAAAACAAAACATCTTTATGTCTCCTGTCTTTTTTCCATTTTCCATCAGGCTTTTTGTTCTTCATTCTTCAATTTCAGAGTCCTTTATATTAGGGATTTTAGTCCTTTGCTTTCTTTCCTACAGCACCTGGTCTTCCTAGGTGGTCTCCCATCCAAGTACTAACCAGGCCCGACCCTGCTTAGCTTCCAAGATCAGACGGGATGGGGCTCGTTCAGGGAGGTATGGCTGTAGTATCCCTATACTTTCTCTTGAGTTTTTCATTTCTGCTATTATGTTTATTTTTTTCCCCCTTTGTAATTCCCACCCCCACCTTCCACCCCTGACCTATGGATGTTGCCGTTTCCGCTTAAGAACTAGATCTCTGAAGGCGGGCACCCGGGACCTGGTGCACCCTGGGTTTGGTCTGTGGCTCCACCTGGCGCGTAAACCCATAACCTTCTGCATGTAAAGCAGAAGTGCTAACCACTACACTATGGAGCCATCCTCACTGCTATTATTTTTAATTCCCAAGGCCCCTTTATTTTTGGTTATTCCTGTTTTTAAAAAATAACATTCTATTTTTTTTCCTAGTGGATTTTCTTTTACTTCTTGGAAGATTGTGTTGTTTTTTTCTTTCCTTTATTTTTTTTTTTCATTATGGTAAAATACATAAAATAAAATTTACCGTTTTAATCATTTTTAGGTATACAGTAATGGCATTATATACATTCACATTGTTGTGCAACCATTATCACAATTCATCTTTAGAACCTTTTTTCATATTCCTAAACTGAAACTCTACCCATTAAACTATAATAATTCCCCTTCCTTACCCCTACCTTAGTTTTTTAAAGTTGACCTCTCTATATAAAGTTTTTGCTTTTATCTGTTTGTTTTGATCTACTTTTCAACCCTAGAAGACTGGTGGTTCTTGGTTATCTTGTCATTTTAAAGAATGACCACTAAGAAGTTACTGAGAAGTTCTGGGCATGCAACTTCAGGGATGTACTGTGAGCTATCCTAGGCCATTTTGGGGAGAATTTCTGTTTATATGTATTTTCTTGTGGACTAATCATATTCTCTAGAGAATAAATAATCTTCCAATCTCCGGCCTGGATAAGACAAAATGTGCAGGGCTCTGGGAGATGGGTGGGAAAGTTCTGGGAGTCTATATTCGATATGTAATTCCATCTTCCAATGGTGCCTGGGATCCCCATCAGCATAGCTCCTACTTTAACCTATCTGAATGATAAACTTCCAATCTTGGATAAGGTAGGGGAATTAATCTGCTGTGTGGAGTTGGGGAGGTCTTTTGGGTCTCATTGTGAGGAAAACCTTGATCAGGTAGGATTACATTATATCTGATAGTGTAAATTGAACTTCATATGCTTTCTTTTTTTCAGTTTTCTATATCTTTATGACTGTTTTTAGGGTAGAAATGTAACTTCTCTTTCTCTTCTTTATAGCTGCATCCAGATCTCATTATGAATCAGAAAAATGAAAAAACAGAGGAAAATTCTCTGGAGGAAAGGAATCCATTTAGCCTTTTCTGAGAAATGGAACACTGGGTTTGGAGGCTTTAAGAAGTTCTACTTTCACCAGCACTTGTGCATTCTGAAAGCCAAGTTGGGAAGGCCAATTACCTGGAGCAGGCAGTTGAGGCATTTCCAGTTCAGAAAGAACACCTTTCAAATCCAGAAAACGTGGATCCAAGATGAACCCTTTTTTGCTAAAACAAAGCCCAGTTTGGCTGTTGAAAACGTTAGTACTTTATCCTCTAAAGTGAAAAGAAAAGGCACTAAACACTTAATTTCCTCTTCAAGGACCCTCCTGAAACTCCAAGCAGAGAAGTTGCTGTCATCAGCAAAGAACTCTGACCATGAATATTGCAGAGGGAAAAGCCTCTCAAAAGCAGTTGCTGACTTGCCAACAAATAGTGTTTTAGGCCAGGCCATTGGTCACAGACCTAGGACGGAGCTGCAAGCTTCTGACTTTCCCATGACGTTCAATGGGGAGAGCCAGAGTCCAGGTGAGAGTGGCACGATTGTGGTCACCTTGAGCAACCATAAGAGAAAGCGCTTTTGTTATGGCTGCTACCAAGGGCTGGAGCGCCACAGGAATGGGGGACCCCTGACTCCAAAAAAGTTCCAACTTAACCAACATAGAAGAATAAAAGTATCTCCTCTTATGATGTACGAGAAATTATCCATGATTAGATTTCGGTACAGGATTCTCAGATCCCAGCACTTCAGAACAAAAAGCAAAGTTTGCAAGCTAAAAAAAGCCCAGCAAAGCTGGGTGCAGGTCACTGGGGACCATCAAGAGACCCTTAGGGAGAACGGTGAGGGTGGCAGTTGCAGTCCATTCCCTTCCCCAGAACTTAAAGACCCTTCTTGTCGGCATCAACCGTACTTCCCAGATATGGACAGCAGTGCTGTGGTGAAGGGAAAGAACTCTCATATGCCTGATGGCTGTACTAAAGGAAGCCCTTTCTTGGGCAAGGAGCTTAGTTTAGATGAAGCATTCCCTGACCAACAGAATGGCAGTGCCACATACACCTGGGACCAGTCACCCTGTTCCTCTCCTAAGTGGGAGTGTACAGAGATGATTCATGACATCCCCTTACCAGAACAGCATTCTAGTAACATGTTTATCTCGGAAACCGAAAGAGAAGCTATGACTCTGGGTCAGGAAAATTGTACAAGTACTGTCAATGATGACAGGGTAAAACTGTCAGTATCTGGGGCAGATCAATCTGTAAGTAGTATAGATGGGCCTGTGTCCGAAGAGACTATTCAGAAAGAGAGCCTATGCCAGATGGATGAGGATGGATCTCTGAAGCAGAACATTCTTAGTTCTAAGTTGCTGGACCACCCTTACTGTAAAAGTCCACTGGAGGCTCCTCTGACGTACAGTGGACTCAAACTAGAAAATCAAGTGGGAGGTGGGAAGAACAGTCAAAAAGCATCTCCAGTGGATGATGAACAGCTGTCAATCTGCCTTTCTGGTATGCACTCTTCCTTTATTCTCCCCCAACCTCCAGCCCACAGTTGCTGTCTATTATCCTTTCTAGGAGAGTCCTGTTTTTTCCTCCCACACATGGATTTCTCTTTAAGCAATTAGACATTCTTCTTAAAGCCTTTTATATTGCTGCATTATATAGATGTCCCATAATTTATTTAATTCTCGATTGATGGACACTTGTGTTGCTTCTAGCTGTTTCCTTCTATACACATGGGTGCAATGTAATTGCTTCTTTTTACTTATACAATTGTTTCTGTAAGTTAAATTCTTAGTAACTTAATGGTAGAAGAATACTCACTTAAAATTTTAAGAGAATTGTTAAATTACCCTCTAAAAGGTTGAACCAGTTCACACTTGTTAAACTTTGCCGGTCTTACAGATCATGAATTGTTTTAATTTGCATTTTTAAGTTTAAAGTTTGAACATTATTTTTCTATGTTGGCCATTTTTTGTTTATATAATTTTCTTTTACCTATTTTTCTATTGGATTATTTATATTTTACTTATTTAATATATGACTGTCCTAGTCTATGAATGTAGCATGAAACAGGATATACTGATTTCTACCTTCATATACCTTAGTTAGCATTATTCTAGTTTTAAAGATGTTAAATTTTAATTATAAATGTTAAAAGAATTTAAGTTTTTCTCCCCCAAAAGGTAAAAGCTTCAGTACTCTGACTTTGTTTCTTTTTTTTGCTTACCAGAAATTTTCAATTCTTACATAGTAAAATTTATCTGTCTTTATGGCTTCAAGTCTTTATATCATGCTTTGAAAAATCTAATTATCAAAATCTACCCAATGAAGTAGGTTGGCATAAACGTTTTTGGAATACGGTATGGCAGTATCAGTCTTTGACCCATTTCTCTTCTTACAATTTGTCCAAGACATAAAAGAGTACAAGTATATTGTACAGAGACATTACTTATTTACTGCCTTGTCATAAAAACTAAAGACAGATGTGTTTCCATAGTGTAGCGGTTAGTATGTCTGCTTTACATGCAGAAGGTCCTGGGTTCACACCCCAGTGGAGCCATGGTCCATGGTCTAAGGCCATGCCACCCTGAACAAGCCCAGTGTCTGATCTCGGAAGCTAAACAAAGTCGGGCCTGGTTAGTACTTGGATGGGAGACCACCTAGGAAGACCAGGTGCTGTAGGCATAAAACAAATAAAAAGTAAAGACAACAAAACAAATGTTTTATGGAAGTATAAATTATTGCACATCCAGGCAATAATATACTTTGAAACTGTTAAGGAATAAATTTGATCTGTATTTTGAAAGCTATCTATAAAGTGAAAAAGCAAGTCACAAAGAAGAAAGATGCTATTTTATTAAAAGAAACGTACATATGTAGGATGAGCATATGTATGTATGTGTGTACATATATTTGTATAGGACATATCTAGGCAGATATATCAAATTGTTACAAAAGGCTTTTTCTGGGAGTTACTTCTTGATGATTTAAACAGTTCTGAATATTTTGTTTTCCCAACTATTAAGCATGTATAAAAAGTTTTTCCCTCACAAAAAGTCACAAAGTAAAGAGTCCTGGCAAATATTAAAAAACTATTTCTGTTCTTTATACTGTCCTAGAATAGAGAAGGACAAATTTCCCTACTATGAGATTAGCAGAACCATGATACATAAACCTGAAAAAGTTAGCATTTACCCACAAATACCAATTAACTTATAGATGCAGTACTTCCAAAAATGATCAGTTGAATATGGCATACTATAAAACTGTAGCATGACGTGAGGAAGAAGAAAGTTTTACAGAATTGACATTTGTGATCTGCCATGTAATTCATTTTTTTAATAGACTAAGGGAGAAAAATCATGGCATCTCAGCAGTTACTGAAAAATCTTTATAAAACTCAGCTTTCCTTCTGTGTAAATCTCAAAACTAAGAATAAAGAAAGCTTTTTTCACTTAGTGAAAAATAGCTGTCAGAAACCAATAGCAGTTCCACGTTTAAGAGGATAAAGTAAACACATGTGTATCTCCATACTCAAAAACAAGTAACAGTGTTTTGGTGAACCAGAAACTGAGAAACTCTCCAAAGGCAGAAAGTTGAGGGAAGAATCCAGAGGGTAGCCCCAGCGGCAGAAGAAAAGATTAGTGCAGGAAAATGGTGCAACACTGAGCGAGTCCTATTTCTGGAGATGGTGGAGATGGGGACGAAAGGAAAGACCCATGGTAAAAGACTGAATAGTTGGGGGAATCTCAACAAAAGCACCTCTCCCTGCCTGTGCCATGTATCAGCAATGAATATATCTGAAATCCCCTCCCCCTGCTGAGTATTATTAAGATGTAATTGACATACAGGACTGAAATCCTAAGAACAGGAGATTGGTGGGAAGGGACAGGAATTTCCCCCTCCCCCTGCTCCATTACGTGTAACACCTGGCAAGACTGAGAAACATCCATTTCCAGAAGGGATTAGGGATGCTAAGAATTTTTGGGTTCTTAGCATCCCTAATCCCACTGAAAATAGTTCAAGACGTAGCAACAGCTACTGCTCATGGGCTAGCCCTTCTCTAGCCCATCAAGTTCCCCAAATAGAGATGAACCCAGAATCTGTCACCAAACATCCAAGAAAAGCCAACACAAAGAAAGAGACAAATTCAACAAAGGAACTAAACTTGAGTAATCAGGATTAATAAAGCAATCACAATAGGAATCAATATAGGGCAGTGTAGTAGGTGCTTCCTTCATTGACTTTTATCGCATTAGCCCGTATTAAATTCCATAGTAATGCTGAGTACTGGCTTTCTCTAGTGTAACTGCACATAATGCTCATTACAGCAGATTTATGTATTTATCAAGAGCTGGTTGTACTTATTCCAGTTTACTTCTTTAATAATTTTATTAAATATTGCATAAACTGATGAAATATGACCTTAAAAAGAAAGTCACTCCCTTCAAAACCAAGTTGGATGCTTTGCAATGACAGTAATGAGTTGCTGAAAAACTTGAGGGAGGATATGAAAGTCTAGGATTCTGTACTTAGATTAGCTGTCTGTTTTGGAAGGAAAGAGATTCCTATGTCACAATATATTCTAGATGGATTAAAAATTTAACTAATTAGAAACAAGTACAGACACAAAAACTTTTGTACACAATTTGTTCATAGCATCATTATTCATAGTAGCCAAAAAGTAGAAACAGCCTAAATGTCCAGGAACTGATGAACGGATAGATAGCATTTGGTATATCTATACAATGGAATATTATTGTTCTGTAAAAAGGTAGACTACTGATACATGTTTCATTGTGGGGGAATCTTGAAACTTGCTAAGTGAAGGAAACCAGATTTAAAAAAGGCCATATACTTTATGATTCTATTGATTTGAAATGTCCAGAGTAGGTAAATACAGAGATAGAAAGTAGGTGAATGGTTGCCAGGGGCTAGGGAGCAATGCAAACTTATGGAATTAGGTAGTAGCGAAATATGCACATCTCTGAATATACAAAATCACTGAATTGTATACTTTAAGAGATTGAATTTTGTGATATGTGAATAATAAGTTCAATAAAGTTGTAAAACAGATACAGGAGACCATTTTTATGATCTCATTGATAAGACATCTTAATGTTTAATAGGAAACTCAGAATATACCAATTTGTCTCCATAAATATTAAAATTTGATATACGTATATAACAAAAATCAAAGTAAAAATTTACTTTGACCCAGAAATTAGCAATTGTTTTGAGAAAGCATTAGAACCATGCTATATCAAAGGTTTTAGTTGGGACATTATTTATGGAGCTAAAATTACCAAATGGTCATCAATGGGGAATTGGTTAAAATATGACATACCCATTTAATGGACTGCTAGATTGTTTTGAACTGACTTAGAGAAAAAAATACAGCATGGTGTATTGAATGGAAAAAAGCAGTTTCAAGAATAAGTGGTGTGCTACTTATATCTTTAAGAAATACATGTTTATAAAGGCATAAAAGTTCTAAAGGAATGGGCTTTTTACTTAGGATTTGCACATTACTTAAGTTTGTTCTTAGATATTTCATGTCTTTCTTATTTGTGATTTCTGACATGTGTATTGTAAGTTGTTGGAGAACCAAGCATTTGCATTTCTTATGTGCATAACATAGTGAACCCCATTCCACAGTCAGTGTGGGATATTGTCTCAAGAAAACACTGTCTAACACAGTTGGTTTAACATGAGTCATTTAACTTCTAAAATAACACCTCAGATTTTATTTTTTATATTATTACCTTTTGTACTTGCAGGAAGGACTATGATTCAAACTCTGTATTTTTTTGTTATTTTTTTTTTCCCCTAACATTTTATCTTGTTTCTTGGTCACATCAAAATTTTAGTATTTTTGAAGTGAAATTGTATTCTAATGCACTTTTCCTTTTTGGTTCATTAGTTTGATGAAAGCAAGTAGGTAAAGAATAATGGATGTAACTCTTTTTAAGTCTGTTTTCTAGGTAATTCTTTGCTCACAGGTATTAAAAGGGAAAGGCGAAATGATCAATTGGGTTGTTTTTGTAGAGAAAAGATAATAGGTATTTTTTGCTTTGGAGGTAACTCGCTCAGTTTCTGTGGTCACTGACCTACAATCAGAGTCTTAGTTCTGCCATATGCCAGTTAAGGATCCTGGTGGAAGTTAACTTCCCTAAGCTTCCTGTCTCCATCCGTAACATAGGGTTACTGTCTAACACATAGGGTAGTTACAAGGATGAAATGATATGTGCTAGTGCTTGGCTTATGGTCAGTGCTCTTTAACTGTCATTTTCCTTCTGGTTCCAGTGAGCTAATGGTGTGTATCAGTGAGATGTTGTTATCTAGGGTTCTCCTTGAAGATAACAGGTAGGGCTTTTCTACTGCGTTAGGAATCCATGGTTATCATCTGAAAATGAAAAAAATACAGGTAAGAGGGAAAAACTATAACAACTTAAAATCCCGATAGCATTGAGCAATAACATTATTAACAGGGACACCTCTTTCCCATGATAATCATTTGGGTTTGGAATCCATTTTCCCACGGTAGATGAGACTGCTTTCTTATTTGAAAAGTGTCAAGGTTGCTGGGTGTAAAGCATAATCTTTTGTTATTAGGAACAGTATATAAAATTTGTTCCTTAAATGTTGAGATTCCTTCTGTTTGGGTTCCTTCTCTCATGTGGATACAAGGCTATGCTTAGATAACTATAAGATATGATATAGTAAACACTATAGGCAAATATATGCTTTATTCCTAGTTTTTTTTATTTAAAAAATTTTTTATTATTATTTATGCCTACAACACGTGGTCTTCCTAGGTGGTCTCCCATCCAAGTACTAACCAGGCCCGACCCTGTTTTGTTCTGAGATCAGACATCGGGCTTGTTTAGGGTAGCATGGCCATAGACCATGGACCATGGCAAACCCAGGACCTTCTGCGTGTAAAGCAGACGTACTAACTGCTACAGTATGGAACCACGTCCTATTCCTAGTTTTGAAACCTTAAATCTTTATTTCCTATTCTGATTAGGCCGGAACATGGGACTCCCTTTCTTGCCTAAAGCCTAGACCAGAACCAGGCCTAAGCAAACAACTCTTTCCTGTTTACTATGCCTTAACCATTGCTCTTATAATAGGCCATTCCAATTGGGAGCCACTCTGGTAGGAGACTAACAGGAGGAAAAATGGGGTTTTCACACCTTTATTTGCCCCTCCCCTGTATAAAACTGTCCATTCTCAGGATAGTCACTTTATTGTAGTCCTTCCTGTCCATTTTGTATTAATGTGTAGCAGAGGCAATTCTTGAAGTTAGAAAGGGAGCTGGGTAAAATAGATGCTACAGTCCTCATTTTTCCCATCAAAACCTAGTGGACTTAATTGTCTGACTGATGGTTAGCCAGGCTGTTGGCTCTTCTCATTCAGCATCACTGAATAGTGCAAGTCATGCCTGCACTTTTGCGAACCTCTAAGTGTTCCCTGAGCTTCTTTGTATTTACTTAGAAATAATGTCCTGGTCTTATTCCCTAGGGCTTTTGTATGTATGTTTCTTCAGTGGATCCTCTTGGAAGTCATTAAAATGAATATATGTATTACCTAAATTGACCTGAAGACTATTCTATATTCTAGCCAAGAAGTCACCCTTTAATTCTGTTTCCCCTTTTAAAATGTCTCCCAGGTGTTATAGAGTTAAACGTACTTCAGCATTATTCAGAGTATAATAACTATCAAGTTGTATATTAAAAATGCCTTAGAATTTGTCCCTTGTTGCGAGATGTGAAATTACACACCTTTATCAAATAATACTTTGACAGCGATCTCAACAATTCCCTCTAATTGTGATTTTTAAAAAGAGAATTCCTTCAGTTACCAAGTTAAATGTGATAGACACATTTAATCAGATGATTAAGCCTTTTAAATTTTACTCTTTAGGAGATAGGATTCTTCTCCAAGGTTAAGCTACTGAAAGATGTCAATCTTTAGTTTTAGATAGCTGTTCTCCCTCTAACAATGCATCAGCACCTTAGAAATCCGATACGAAATGATGCCTTAGAGCAAGCATTTCTCTCTAGATTGGAATGGTGAGAGCCTGATTCATTTATTATTTTACAATTTTTTTTACATAAATTTTAAAAGTTTTCTTTATAGTATAATATATAATATAGGTTAAATGTGTGTTAGGTATGTACAGGTTAAGTATTGAGAGAGTGACTTTGCTGAAAATATTTTTTCCATCTTAATTTTTCTTTCTTCCTTTATTTAAGGATTCCTAGATGAGGTTATGAAGAAGTATGGCAGTTTGGTCCCACTCAGTGAAAAAGATGTCCTTGGAAAATTAAAAGATGTCTTTAATGAAGACTTTTCTAATAGGTTTGTCAATGATGCTTAAGTTAAGCCCTTTAAGTAAAATTGTCATATATGACCTTTCTCAATTAAAAAGTAGATACTTCGCTATAAATTGAGTAGCACTCATGTATTTTACCTTTTATTTCAAAATCTTTGTTTCAGAAAGCCATTTATCAATAGGGAAATAACAAACTATCGGGCCAGACATCAAAAATGCAACTTTCGTATCTTCTACAATAAGCACATGCTAGATATGGATGACCTGGCAACACTGGATGGTCAGAATTGGCTGAATGACCAGGTTAGTGTATTGTAGGTTGTCATCATGGAAAAGTTGCAGAGGATGTTGAACAGTAAAATATAATTAATAACCTCCGGTTGGCCTCACAGTCAATATCTTTTGGAATCAGTGATTCTTTATTTCTTACTCAAGTGACTCATTCACTAACTCCACTATCCAAAAGATTTGATTACTATTGGCAATATCAATATGTTATTCATTCTGAATGGTACGTTCTGAATTGTATAGGGTTAGTAAGCTGGTTTTATGTTGACTTTTTATAGGTCATTAATATGTACGGTGAGCTGATAATGGATGCAGTCCCAGACAAAGTAAGTGAAAACTGACTCTTCTTTAGGAGAGAGTCCTTGTGTATTGAAGGAAGTTTTTTTTTTAAAAAAACTTTTTGCAATTATTTGATATTCCTTAGATTTTTAAAAAGGGTGTGTTTTTCTCTTGATCATGTGTTAAGATTGGGCATATGTTCTATAATATCATTTCTGCATAAGAAAGTCATGATGCCAGTGTTTCCTGCTTATTTATTTCAGAGTGGGAATGTTGGTTGATATCTTGAGGAAGCTTTTTGTTTTAGTGGGAGATACAAAAGAGACTATTCGCTTTAAGCTTTTAAATTGAAGTCTTACTCTCTTTAAAAAGGTGGTAAAATGGTATTTATTATCACTTTATCTTGGCTTAATCTTTGATACTCAGTTCAAATACCAACTAACCTCTCTTAAACTATAAAATTCCCTTAACACATTTGCCATTTGCGGCTGTAGTTTTCACCCTGAAATAACTCACATGTTATAGTCCTAACCTTACTCCCAAAGTTTGCCATGAAATATCTCACTTTTATTATTATTTTCGCATCGCTCTAGTATATCGATAGTTTTGGAAACAAATGACATCATTCTATTTATTGCATTCTGTCTTTAGTAGTAGTATTTCTATTTGCAAAGTATAGTAATTCTTGATTGCTGAAATGTTAAATCCTAGAAAAAGTAGCATTCCTGGGTGTGATGTTAACATCGTTCTTAAACAGTTGTTAGCTGAAGATTCATTTGATGAATCTGATTTATGCATACATTTCTGTTACCTTAGGATTAGGGATAAGTTCTGTTTAGAAATAACTTTAAGAACAGTTTTTTATATTTTGTTTTCACATTGAAAACCAGTCAGATTTGCTTCAGCCTCAAAGAGTGTGTTTATGTAAAATTAAATTAATGCTAGCAGTGAGCTGCACATTTTTTTTCCTAAATGGCAAATGGGTTAAAAGTATAGTTACATATTGAAACTCTTTAAAAATTTAATATATTAATTTTTATTTCTGGGCACTCAAATTGCCTGCTGGGCAGCCTTTGATTTCAACAAGCAAAACCTTTCCAAGTACTTTATAAACTTCTATAAATCTAATAATTTAAACAGGTAAATGTAATGAATCTCAGATTCCAACGCTATTTATGAATATAGACAAAATGTCATAACTTTGCACTTAAAATCGCACATCTGTTATGCATTTTAAATTGGAATCATGAGGCTAATCTGTCAGATTTTCTATTATGTCAAGTTCTCTTAATCATGAGAAAGTTTAAATTTAAACACATGATTTTTAACATAAAAGTATTTTCAAGGGTATAGTTTACTGTCTTTGCCTTTTTATTTAATTCTAAACCTTCATTGGATTGAAATGGCACTTAGGCAGTTCCCAGACCAACAGCATCAGCCATCACCTGGGAATTTAATAAAAATGTTAATTTTTGGACTCCAACCCACACCTTCTGAACCAGAAACTGAAGGTGGGGCCCAGCAATCTGTGTTTTAACATAGCATTTCCAGATTCTGATGCATACAAAGTTTGAGAATTACAGCTACTGAGATGTAGCTACTATAAGCCCTTTTTTATTGATATCTTAAGCTACATGGTTCTGAAAACAAATGTGCATCAGAATCCTCTGGAAGGTTTATAAAACCACATTGCTGAGTCCTGCCCTCAGAGTTTCTGTTTTAACGTAGGTCTGGGGTGGAGCCTCAGAATTTACATTTTAGCATGCTCCTGCTGATGCTGCAATCTGGTGACCACATCCTGAAAACCTCAGCACTAAGAGAACAATTTTATTATCTCAAGTGAGTCAAAGTTACTGCGTTAAGACCACAATAATTTACTATCTCAGATGAGCCGATACTACTTTATAAGCCAGAAATTTGAAGCCAAGGATGCAGGACATGATTCTCCATATGACCAGCATAATTCTTTCAGTGCTAGAAGTGATCATGCTAAAATCTTTTCATAGTTGTTATACAGCAAGAGTCTCTAAATTTACATCCTTCAAATGGAGTTAGTTTTATAGTCCATATCCCTTGAGTTCAAGGTAATCATTACCTCATTCTTTTATAGCCTCTTTCAACTTTATCACTTCATTTGGAGAGATTTGTCAGGTTGCTCCTCTACTTGATTGGATTCAGCTAATCTATTTACTACCCATTCCAGTTCTAATTATAGACCACAGCTGTAAGGTCATTCTAATGAAAATTTGGAACAAAATATTTTGTGAACCAATTAATATATTTTCTATATTTTGGTTATTATTTTAAAGAAGAAATTTTCCCTTACTTTTTGTCTGTATTCAAGGATTTTTACATTTCCATTTTCTTTTGAAGTTAAATCTGGGTAAAGCCTAATATAATCTGGGTGCTTATATTTGATGTTTCTTCTAGGTTCATTTTTTCAACAGCTTTTTTCATAGACAGCTGGTAACCAAAGGATATAATGGAGTAAAAAGATGGACTAAAAAGGTATTCTCTTTATTGCTTTATGTCCTAAATTTGAAATGCAAATGATAACCACTTTGGAAGGATAAGAACTTTAATATCAATATGATTTTAATTAGAAACAGAGTCCTTATGTGACAGTTGTTTTTTATCATTTGTTTTAAATCTTGTTTGAAAGACGCTAGTAAAATTGAGTCTGTCCACTTGATTGGAATATGCTGTAACAAAGCACTGGGCAGGAAGTTAACGATTTCTGCATTACTATTAGCTTAATGCTCAACTTGGACAGGACACTTCATTTATCTGGGCTTTTAGATTGTTTATTTATAAAACAAAATTATGAATCAGAATAATCCCTAAAGTCCCTTCTAGCCTTAATTTCTCTCTATATTCATTGACTATGCCAAAAACATTATTTTAAATGCCCATTTCTAAGTCTACGGCCATGCTACCCTGAACAAGCATGATCCCATCTGATCTCGGAAGCTAAGCAGGATCAGGCCTGGTTAGTACTTGGATGGGGGACCACCTAGGAAGACCAGGTGCTGTAGGCATAAAAAATTTAAAAATAAGGGATTGTAAGCTGACAAGGTCCTTGCAATCTGTGAGGTCAACCAAGGGTTGCCTTGCCTAAAAAAAAAAAAATTTAAAAGCCCATTTCTAGTTTTGATATTTTGACAAAATTACCAACAAGTTCAAATTCCACAGTCATAGGTCTAGAGAAAATGTAATTTTTTATTTTTTATAGTGGATAGGTTAGAGAAATTTAAGAATGCCATATCTGAAATATATGAGAAGGAATAAAAGACTAGAGAACAAAACAAAACAAAACAAAAGTAAGTTTTGTCTTAAGTAGTTGTGGACAGAAATAACTTTTTATAAACATTGCTCTGTAGGTAATATGTACAAGGCATCATCAGTAGTGCCAAGATAAATGAAATGTGGTTAAAGAGTACAAGTCTGGAGAAACAAATATAATGAACTCAGGAATCAGACCAGGTTTCAGATTTTAGTTCAGCCACTTAACTAGTTGTAAGACCCTGGGCAAATGACGTAATTTTTCTAAGCTTTAGTTTCCTCATCTATAAAATAGGAATATCAATAGTATGTAATTTGTTGTGAAGATTACATAATGCATGTAAACCACTAAGTACATAGTAAACACATAGTAACTGATAATCATTATTATATTATGGTGGTAGAAGCATGAGAGAAGGCTAGTGTAGCTGGAATGCAGATAACAAGAGGTTGGCATGAAGTGGTCCTAATCCAGAGATGTAGGGCCTCAAGATCTATGTTTTAAATCTTATCCTAAATGTGTAAAACTGAAAGCCACAAACAAACATAGAAAAACTCATAGACACAGACAACAGTTTAGTGATTACCAGAAGGAAAGGGGGAGGGGGAAAAATAGAAAAGGGTAAAAGGAGTCAAATATATGGTGATGGAAGGAGATTTGACTTTGGGTGGTGAACAGATAATGCAATATGCAGATGATGTATTATAGAATTTTACACTTGAAACCTATATACTTTTTTAAACCAATGTCACCCCAATAAATTTAATTTAAAAACTTTTATCCTAAATATATGGGAATCTATTGAAGGGTTTTAGGCGACATCATCCAGTTTGTAGTCTTTGCTCTAGCAGCACTGAAGAAGATGAATAAGTGGTGGGAGCAAAGTTGATATGGGTAGAACAGCTGGCCATTGTGGACTGATGTTATTTTGGATTAGAATGGTAGCTGTAGAAATGGGAGATGCAAACAAATATGAGTGTGATCTAGGAAGTAAAATTAACAGGATTTGGTGATGGGTTAATTATGGGGATGAGGGAGAAGAAAGTATGAAAGATGACTTACAAATATGTTGCTTGTACCACTGGATGGACTGTGGTGGTGTTTATATTAGAAAAATTGAGGACAACTAATTAGTAGGAGATTGGTTGAATTAAAAATATATGTCCATTTAATAGGAAGCTACTTAACCAGGAAAAGTTATGTAGATGAGGGAAGATGACCATATATAGTGTGGAGTGGAAAAAGGTTATAAATAGCATGGAAAAATACAGACATCCTTTGGAGATATTGCTGGTTTGCTTCTGGACCATTTCAATAAAGTGAATATCATGATAAAGCTATTCACATGAATTTTTTGCTTTCCCAGTGCATATAAAAGTTATGTTTACACTATACTGTAGATTAAGTGTGCAATAGTATCGTGTCTAAAAATAAATGTACATACCTTAATGAAACAATACTTTATTGCTAAAAAATGCTAATCGTATGAGCCTGTTGGAAAAATAGCACTGATAGACTTGGTCAGTGCAGGGATGCCACAAACCTTCAATTTGAAAAAAACATAGTGTCTGCAAAGCACGGGAAAGAGAAGTGCAGTAAAATGAGGTATGCCTGTACAGTCATAGAAAAATATCTGAATAATAAACAGCATGAGAGAAAAGGACTAAAATCAAGTATGTGAGTCATTTCATTAAATAGAATGAAACTAATCCTCTGGATCCTTTCAGATTGGATTAAGTCACAAAATTCATCTATATGCTGTATGGTAAGAAATAAAAGAATATGAAAAAGAAGGGTTGAAAATAAAGTGATATTTAAAGAGGTACTAGGCAAATGCAAACCAGAGGAAAGGAGTAGGAAAAAAAAAGGGTATAGCAATATTAATAGTAGATGAAGTAGAATTTAAGGTCAAAAGTAAACTGTGATCATTTCAATTTATAGAAGATACATCAGTGATTACAGAAGTATGAGGAGCTTGATAAAATAGTAATAGGAGAGACCTCTATCATAGTTGGACAAATCTAGTAGACAAAAAAATCATAAATAAAAATTTAAAAATACAACAAATATATTTGGTTTAATAGATATATACTAGATCTTTATACCTCTGAAAAAGAAGATATACATTTATTCCCGTGTCTGAGGAACATTTGTAAAAATTTGATCATATACTTAGACACACAGAAAATTACAATAATACATGTAATAATATATTACATATATTTTTTCTTGATCATAATTTAATTTAATAAAGATGACTAAATCTTAATTTGAAGATTTAACAGATACACATGTTACTGGATATAAACCTTGCATATAAAAGAAAAAAAAGGAAATTATACACTAACTGTATAAAAAGGTATGGAAAGGGGAATACATTTTAACCAACCACACGGGACATAGCGAAGCTATTTTAAGGAGAAAGTTAATGGCCACAAATGCCTTTATCCATTAAAGAAAAAATGAAAAATAGAATTAAGTACTCACTAAATTAGATTACATTAAGATAAATTATAGAATAAGGATTTGGAAGGCAGCTATGATCACCACTATACCACCAACACTATAGAATAAGGATTTGAATGCAACAAAAATGAAACAGTAGAAGTACTGAGAGAATCTGTAAGAGAATTTTTAAAAAATAATCTCAAAATAGTGAAGTCCATTCAGTGTACAAGTTAAGACTTAGATGCTATAAAGGAGACAATTCACTTACATGAAAAGTAAAATAGTTTTGCATTTAAAAATAGGAGCCATGTAAAAAGACAAATAGTAAACTGGGAAAAGTATTTGCAATTCATATCACAGACTAATTTTCTTAATGTATAAAAGGCTTCTACCAATCAATAAGAGAAAGACCCCACCAACTCAATAGAAAAATGGGTGAATATGAATGAAAGATTTATAGTAAAGAAAGCTTATTATTGGGTTCTTCTGGATATGTCTTCTGTCAGATCTATGTTTTGTGATTTTCTCTCAGTCTGTGGCTTTTCTGCTTATTTTCTTAACCACATCTTTTGATGAATGGAGATTTTAAATTCTAATGAAATCTAATTTACCATACTTTTTTGTTTTATAGTTTTTGCTTTCTTTATCCATTGTATAAATTATTTGCCTCAAGTTTTTTCTTCTAATGGCTTTAATTTTAGGTTTTATGTTTATATCTCTGATGCCTCTCAATTTTTGTGTAAGACATGAGGTGTAAGGGATCAAGGTTTTTTTTTTCTCGATATGTATATCCAGTTGTTCCAGTGTCATTTGCTGAAAAGACTTCTCTTTCAATTTCCAATTGACCGTTTGTGTGTAGGTCTGTTTCTGGACTTTATGTTCTCTTACACTGATCTCTTTGTTCTTACACTAATACTATACTGTCTTGATACTGTGTTTGTATAGTATGAATTGAAATCAGTATAAGTCGTTGGCCAGCTATATCCTTATTTTTCCAGATGTTTCAGCAATTCTGGGTCCTTTGCATTTTCACATAAATTTTAGAATCAGTTTGTCTGTCTCTGTTTTTTAAAAACCTGCTGGATTATGCTTGGGATTGTGTTTAGTCTATATGTTCATTTAGGGAGAATGGATATCTTAACAATATTAAGCCTTTCAATCCATGAACATGGCATATTCTCCATTTATTTGGGTCTTTCATTTTTCTTAGCAATATTTTATAATTCTTAGTGTACGGGTCTTGTGCATATTTTTAAGACTGTATCCTTAAGCATTTCATATTTTCGAAACTGCTATAAACAGATTTTTTAAAATGTTATCATCCAATTGTTTGTTGTTAGAATATAGAAATGCAGTTGATTTCTGTATATTGATCTTGTATCTTGTAATTTTGCCAAACTCACTCACTGGTTCTAGGAGCCTTTTTGTAGGTTCTGTGAGATTTTCATAGACAATCATGTCTGTAAGTAGTGACTTTTATTTCTTCCTTTCCAAACTGCATGCCATTTTTTTTCTTGCCTTATTGCTAGGACTTCTAGTATACTGTGGAGTAGAAGTAATGAGAGGACATCTTTGCCTTGTTCTCACTTTTTGGAGGAAAGCATTGAGTCTTTCACTACTATTTTTGATGTCAGCTATAGGATTTTTTGTAGATGTTCTTTATTAGGATAAGGAAGTTCCATCCTGTTTCTAGTTTGCCGAGAGTTTTTAATCATAAATGGATATTGAGTTTTATCAAATGCTTGTCCTGCATCTAAGGAGATGATCCTCTGGTTTTTCATCTTTATTCCTTTAATGAGACCCAAACTGCAAGAGCAATACCTAATTTTGAGACATGCCAGTCTCAGGGCCACATGATAGCTCTTAAAATTTCAGCTTGGTCATGACATAACTTCACTTCAGTTTATAGCACATTGGTTAAAGCAAATCACATAACAGGAGTACATTTCTTCCCCTGGGAGAGGCAGTGAAGCCACATGACAATAGCCAGTTCTGTATAATCCTCTTCTAAGGAGGGCAACAAATGGGATCAATAATACAACCTACCACAAACATCAATTAAAAAAAAAAAATTGTAGTTGACATATTAGTTTCAGATGTACAACATAGTGATTCAGCATTTATATACCATATGAAGTGATCCCCATGATAAGTCTAGTAACCATCTGTTGCTGTACTTAGTTATTATATGGTACTACTGGCTATATTCCCTATGTTGTACATTATATACCTGTGAGTTACTTTATAACTTTGCAGTTCGTACTTCTTAATCCTTTTCACCTTTTTTGCCAATTCTCCTACCCCATCCTCTCTGGCAACCATCAGTTTATTCTCTGAGTTTGTTTTGTTTTTGCATGTTCATTTGATTTTTAAATTCCACATGTAAGTGAAATCATACAGTATTTGTCTTTCTCTGTTCAGCTTATTTCACTTAGCATTATACCTTTTAGGTCCATCCATTTTGTTGCAAATGGCAAGGTTTCATTCTTTTTCATGGCTGAGTAACATACCATTGTGTGTGTCTGTGTATATATCTGTATCTCTCTCACATCTTTATTTGTCAGTGGACACCTAGGTTGCTTCTATGTATTGGCTATTGTAATTAATGCAGTGAACATAGGAGTGCATATATCTTTTTGAATCAGTGTTTTCAGTTTCTTTGGATAAATACCCACAATTGCTGGGTCTTATGGCAGTTCTATATAAAAATTTTTTAGCAATCTCCATACTGTTTTTCATAATGGCTGCACAGTTTATAGTCTCACCAACAGTACACTGGTGTTCCCTTTTCTCCACATCCCTGCCAACACTTATTCTTTGTTGTCTTTTCAGTAATAGCCATTCTCACAGATGTGAGATTTTGTAGTTTTTGTTTGGATTTCCCTGATGATTCATGATGTTGGCCAACTGTTGGCCATTAATTGACCATGCAGGTGTGCGTTTATTTCTAGGCTCTTCAGTTTTTTTCATCAGTGTCTTATAGTTTTCTAAGCACAGGTCTTTTACCTCCTTAGTTAAATTTATCCCTAGGTATTTTATTATTTTTCGATGTAATTGTAAATGAGTTTTCTTAATTTCTTTGATGGTCGTTGTATAGAAACACAATAGATTTATGGATATTTGTTATTCTGCAACTTTACTGAATTCATTTATTAGTTCTGATAGTTTCTTGGTGAAATTAGGATTTTCTGTATAGAGTATCATGTCATCTGCAAAAAGTGACAATTTTACTTCTTCCTTTCTATACAAATATCTTTTCTTTTTCTTGTCTGACTGCTGTGGTTAGGACTTCAGTACTATGTTGAAGGCGGGGCGCCTCCTCCCACATGCTCATGGCATGCACCCCGGGCCTGGCGTACTCAGGGCCTAGTGCACCCGGGGCCTGGCACACCCAGTGCACTAGTGCACTTGGGAGGCCTGCACACCCGGGATATGATCTGTCATTCCACTTGGGGCGTGAACCCAGGACCTTCTGCGTGTAAAACAGATGTGCTAACCACTACCCTATGGAGCCACCCTGCTTGATATGATTTCAGTCTTCTTAAATTTATTGACTTTTGTGGCCTACTATATGATCTGTTCTGGAGAGTGTTCCATGTGCACTTGAAAAGAATGTATATTCTGTTTTTAGATGGAATGTTTTGATTTTATTAATTCCATCTGGTATAATGTATCATTTAAAGCCAGTGTTTTCTTCTTGATTTTCTGTCTGGATAATCTATCCATTGTTGTATGTGGGGTGTTATAAAGTCCCCTACTATTATTGTAATATTGTCAGTCTCTCCCTTTATGTCAGTTAATATTTGCCTTATGTACTTAGGTGCTTCTATGTTGGGCGCATAGAGGCTTATAAGTGTTACATCCTCCTGTTGGATTGATCCCTTTATCATTATATAATACCCTTCTTTGTCTCTGCTTTCAGTCTTTGTTTTAAAGTCTATTTTGTCTGATATTAGTCTTGCTACTGTGACTTTCATTTCCAATATCTTTTTCCATCCCTTTACTGTGTGTGTCTAGTTCGGAAGTGAGTGTCCTGGAGGCAACATAGATATGGGTCTCACATCTCTCTTATATATATAAAGTTGTGTGTGTGTTCATGTGTTTGTATGAAAAATAATATCTTAAAAATATGAAAAAGCTCTGCAAAGATACACATTAATGTATATCTTTTTATCTGTATTTTCTAATTTTTATTTAAAAATTTTTTATAATTAAGAAAAAAGTTCCTTTTTGAGAAGCATATAAATTTCGTTTTATATAATATTCTATTTTAAATATGATTCCTTGTTTTAGATACTCAGAATTTTTGAACTGGAAAGGACCAGTTGTCTAATATTTCCTTCTATTTACCTCCCAGATTTATAGATGCAGGAACTGAAGAGCAGAAGTGCTAAAGTGCTTTGCTCCAAGGTCATATAGACTAGTAGAAGATTAATCTAGAGTGAGACATTATCTGAATATCAGAGAGCAGGGAAGGTTTGAGAACATTTCTAAGAATCTGATGTAGTTTAAAATATCTTTGTAATTGTTTTAACCTAAGAATCACTAAAATACTCTTTAAAAATTCCTGAAAAAATAAATTCATTCACTCTTTTACAAAATGTTTATTGAGCACTTACTAGTTTGTCATCCACAACTGGGAATTTGAGTGGAATAGCAAATATTTCTAGATTATAAAGGGCAAATCAGGATATAAAGGATATGTAAAGACTTATCGGGGATATTTTTCTCAAATTTACACCTGGGAGACCCCAGGTAGTAATAATAATAATAGCTAAGATTTATTGACTACTATAATGTGCTAAGCACTTTTTTGCATTTTAGATTCATTATCACTCTCAACTTCATAAGGTGGGTACTACTGTTACCTTTATTTTATATGGAGGAAATCAAAGCACAAAGAAGCTATGAAAATCATCTGGACAATAAGTAGAAGCAACACAATTTGAACTTGACATGACTTAATTTAGAGCCTGTGATCTACAGAGTCTGTAGAAAGATAAGCCTTACAGCCTATGCTGTTTTCCAATACCACGATTCCTTCCTAACTAAGAATTGAGTCTAAGTCAAATATGTACACAAGAAAATAAACATAAAAATAAGGGGCCAAGTCATATTGGGCAGTTGATAAGCACAGGTTTAGCAGGTTAAATGGAAAATAGTACTTTCAGCATCTTCAGTTTTTTTACTGTTGTATATATTAGCTTGGTAGTTACAAGCATGAGCTTTCTAAGGCCTGGGTTCAAATTCTGGCTTCACTACTTCCTAGTTTTATGATCTTGAGCAGGTCAAAGGTCAGGAAATGGAAGCTGCTGTTTGTTGTTGTTGATTTGGATAGCCTGTAGTGATGGCTGCATTTCTTTTTCTTTTTTTTTGATCAGGTGGATTTGTTTAAAAAGAGTCTTCTGTTAATTCCTATTCACCTGGAAGTCCACTGGTCTCTCATTACTGTGACACTCTCTAATCGGATTATTTCATTTTATGATTCCCAAGGCATTCATTTTAAGTTTTGTGTAGAGGTAAGTAAATATACTGCCTATTTTTTCTTTTACCTTGTGATCGACCAAATAATATGTTAGCTCTAGATATAACAGCAAAAGCCAATACCATAGAGGCTCAATTTCTGTTATAAAACCACTCTGAAATGTTGGCAGAGAAAAAGACTACAAGAAGACTCTCCAGATGGGGAGAGGTAGCTGCCTTGGAGATATATGCCTTTTTGGATTTCATCAGATTTTATTCTGCCTTTCCCTTAAAACTTCATTTTTAATGTGGATAGAATTATTTTTCCTTGGTTTCTTTTAGAGCTGAAATTTGCTTATATCTTCAAAATAACTTCCTTAGAAAGAATTATAACCCAGGGAATCAGCTGGTAAAATAGGAGAGTTCAACAAGATGGTAGGATACAAAGCAAGAAAAACCAGTAGGTTTCTTACATTAGTCCTGCACAGCAAAATCCTGTTAGAAAATTTAACGGAAAACAGGCAGATTTCATTTTCAAAAGCAACAAAGACATAAATTACCTAGGAATATACCCTAGCAAAAAATGTGGAAGTTTTTAAAGATGGAAAACTCTAAAGTATTTAAAGGAAATCTGAATAGATGGAAAGAAGACAGACTCAATATTGGAAAGAGATCATTTCTTCCCAAATTAATATATACCAGTTTCTGTCCTAATCAGTTTCCCAACAGGAGTTTGAATGAAACCTGATAAGCTCATTCTAGAAGTCATTTTGCAAAATTCATGTGCATGAACAGCTAAAACAGTTTTAAAGTAGGATAGTGAAGGAAGGAATATTTGGTTTACTAGATGTCAAACCGTATCACAAAGTTTTAGTAATTAAAACTATATCTATATTTACTTAGGAATAGACAAGTGTATTGGTGGTACAGCATAGACAATGTAGAAATAACATGTATATGTGGGAACTTAATACATGATAAAGTTGGGAAAAGACAGGCTATTCAATATATGCCATTGGGAAGAGTAGCTGTCTATTTGAAAAAGTAAAATATAGATCCTTACTTTATACTGTTTATAAAAAGAAATTCCAGAAGGAATAATGACCTAAATATAAAACAAAACTCTAAAAGTTAGAATAAAATATAGAAGATGTTATATTCTTAGATCTCCAAGACATTCTTACACAAAACCAAAAAAGCAAAAGACATAAAGGAACAGATTGACAAATTTGACCATATCATAATTTAAAACCTCTGTGTGCCATAAACCTAAAAGACGAGAGACAGACTTGGAGAAAATGTTTGTGACATATGTAATAATCACTATCCAGAAAATATAAAGAACTCCTACAAATGACTAAGAAAAAGAAGGGTCTAATAGAAATGGAAAAAGGATAAAATAAGTAATTTCTAGGAAAAATGCAAATAACAGTTAAACACATGGAGAGATGCTCAGCCTTACCAGAAATTTGAGAAATGCTAATACCGTTCCATTTTTTGCCTATTAGGAAAAGTTTGATGTTATTTAGGTGTTTGTGTGGGTGTTAGGAAACAGGCATTCTCATATTTTCTGGTGGAATGTATAAATTGATGTAGCCACCTGGACAATTGCAGTTCTAATCAGTTTTAAGTACTTTATAAATTAAAAAGATCTTACTGCATATTAGTTCTGTTTCTTGGTATCTACTCTATTAAAATGCATGTATACGCACAGGATGGGGCATGCACCAGTATATTCATTGTAGCATTATTGATAATATTGAAAAGCAAAACAACCTAAATTTAGCTTTACCAACAGATTAGCTAAATACATACACTATAGTATAGTCATACTATTAAACTGACCATAGCAGTTAAAAAGAATATATTAGATCTCCTTGTCCTAACATGGAAAGATCTCCAAGACATATTGAGTTTAAAAAAGCAAGTCACAGAATGGAACTGTATAACGTGTGTATTGAAATACAATACATATATGCACACATGTATATATGTATGTATATACAAACACAGACTTGTTTGTATACACATATGTACTTCTACTCATACTTCTCCACCTTCAGGGGGTTTATTTCATTCATGTAACCTCTGACTTCTTAGAAGAGATATACACAAAGAAGTTGAGGGCATAAGGGAAAATTTGAAACTCCAGTAGGCTTCATCTCCATAGAGATTTCAGCAATATAACTATAGAAACTGAATGATACCTTTACCTGCAGCTCTTAAAAATAAGGAGTATATGTAAAGCTGGAATGTTTGGTTTTGTTTATAGTTTGTTATTAATGATTTCTGCCACGAGTTCCTTCCCTTTATTGAGCATTGCCAGTAATTTTTAATTTTCAAATTCAGCAAGTTGACTTAACTGCTGAAAACGACTGACCATCTCATGAAAAGTTCTTATTAAAATATATATCAGTGTCCACAGTCTTAAGTGCATACCTGAGTACAGAGTGTCTGAGTCCTTCTTAACATTATGAAGTGAAAGGTCTGAAATAAAGTGCCAGCTTTAAACTTGTTCGTGCAAAAGACAAAGGAATAATGGTGAGGCCACAGCCTCCTTTTTTGCTTCTATCTGCTGTGGGCAGGTTCCATTTTTCACCAACTGATGGAACACAGCATCTGTGTTGTGGTTTCTTTTTAACCAGAATATAAGAAAGTATTTGCTGACTGAAGCCAGAGAAAAAAATAGACCTGAATTTCTTCAGGGTTGGCAGACTGCTGTTACAAAGGTAAGTATGTCATAAAAATGAAATCCAAGGGATGTCAAGGGGATGGAATTATCTTAGGGGTAGGTATCTTTAAAAGCATTTTTAGACTGGTGACGAATCTTCCAACAGAGTGCCTGGACCTTAGTTAGTATTTATCATCTCAGTTTCCCAGTGCTTGCTGGGAACAAGTAAATTCAGTCATTTCATTCCCAGGGCAGCTGCTAATGATATGGTTGCTCGATTGGAGGGGGGGGAT